CCTGCACTTCCAGGATGGTGCTGCCTGGTGGCACGATGACAGGACGGTGTATGTAGGCAGTGGAGCCATCCTCCAGCTGGACAGCCTCGAAGGTGTTGGGGTCAGAACACTCTGTAAGAGGAAAGTGGAAACCAACAAATCCAGCGTGAAAAGGCTGCTGAGTAAGAAGCACTCTTCATCTCCTGGGCTATCTACAGCCTTGGAACTATGTAACAGCTTCTACTCCAGCTGCCAAGGGAAGAACAGGGAATGCTCTTTACCTTTAGCTGTGTTGTGTATGTAGGCCATACTGCCATCTTCCAACACCACTGGCTGACCATCTTCAAAAGCCACAGACTCTAAAAGAGAACAAAAAGATAGACACACCTTACTGGAACACTCAGACAGCACAGAGGAGAAGCTCCTGAACCATTCAAGCCCACAGAGGAGGACACAGCAGGGCTGCCTGCTTACACTGAAAGTCAAACACACCTATAGGTTTTAAGATGCCACTTGAGCCTTTCCAACATGAATTATGAGGTTTTTAAGACTTCATGCATAGCTTTGCCACACTTCTTTAGCTCACTGGGCTAAATGCAGAGTATCATCCATTAAAAATGCCAATTTATGTCCCACACACAAATGATAGCAGCCTTCCAGTATCTGAAGGGGGCCTGTAAGGATGCTGGGGAGGGACCCTTCATTAGGAAGTTCAGGAACTGTAGTGATAGTACAAGGGGTAACTGGTTAGAACTTAAATAGGGGAAGTTTAGATTGGATATAAGGAAGAAGTTCTTTACTGTGAGGGTGGTGAGGCACTGGAATAGGTTGCCCAAGGAAGCTGTGAATGCTCCATCCCTGGCATTGTTCAAGGCCAGGCTGGACAGAGCCTTGGGTGACATGGTTTAGTGTGAGGTGTCCCTGCCCATGGCAGGAGGGGTGGAACGAGATAATCTTAAGCTCCTTTCCAACCTTAACTATTCTGTGATTCTGTGATGGCTTTGGCACAGGTGCGTGTGAAGGAGAACACAAACATCCCATAGAAGGGGAAACGGGTGAGAAGGAAAACCCCTCTCACTGTGTTTGGAGGCACGGTAGAGGATGAAAGGAGGAAAGGGGCACAGCCAAGAACTCAAACTGGGTTTCCAGCAACCATTTAGGAACAGAAAAGGGAGGTGGCTCACAAGAAGCTTTGGAGGGTGAAGGAAGAACTGCCCAGAGCAACAGAGCTCTTTCTACCTGCCCTTTTACATCTTACCATGGTCAGAGAGGATTCCTCTGTGCCACTCTAGTGCCTGCCACATGAACTGAATTCCCACCACCACTCAGATTATTTAACGTCACCTCATTTCAGAGATGACATTGGCTAACGGGTCATTGCTTCCAACAACCCCACATACCCAAACACCTATTGCAGAATTAATATATTATCTCCTGGTTCAGAGGAAATTCCTGTCCAGCTGCTCTCACAGGAAACACACTTTGTCTGGGCTCTGTAGTTGGCACAAACACAGCACACAGCTCCTGGCCTTGCCTGCAGACTTGTGATCTGTCAGAGTGGCAACTGTGGGAGAGCCCACAGGTGAAACAACACTTAAACTGCTGCTTACACCACCAGCAAATTGGCCTTGTCAGATTGCAGGAAATCACATGTTCTGTGTCCTTGCTCATTCAAAACCATGGGCAAGAGACAAAAAAATCCTACACCTGTATGGACTTCTTAAAGCTTGAGCTAATAGAGGAGCCCCACTGTTGGAACACAGACAATTGCAGTTACATTTACAACATCCTTCTAAAAAGCAAAAGGTGAATTTATGGTCCTCACCTTTCTCAATTGTCACCTGTTGGATATAAGCTGTGGTCCCATCTTCAAGTTCAATGACTTGTCCTTCAACCAGCTTTCCATCTGAAACAGTTAAAAAAATGCCATCAGCACTGCCTGCAGAGCCCAGTCTTCCTGGTCCCATGAGCTGTCCCCTTTGCTACATGTTCACAAGAAAACCAGTACCCACAAGACAGTGAAACTGCAACTTATAGGCTGTTATTTATGAAGCTTTTCCCTGAATAGCCATAGAGGCACTTCCTAGAAATGCTGGAGCTTCCTTTACCTAGACAAGAGGATACAAGACAAAGAACCTGTTATTGCTTGTTTACAAGCTGCTCTTCACAGCTCTGTGAGCCAAGAAGCAGAAAGAATGATGTGTGCTAAGTATTTTGGATCTAAAGTAGAAAGCAATTACACTTGTGCTTGGAAAAAAAATCATCTGGGAGCTTTCACTGCCATCAGCAAGGGCCTGGAGATATTTTCTTCTGCTTTGATGGAGGATAAACTCTTGGGGAAAAGTTATAGTGCATAAAGGGGCATAAAGTGATGCCATCCTTGATGGGCTGTGAACATTGGACTCTTCAAATAGTGTAACTCTGAATTATACTATGTTTTAGTTCCCAAATCATTTGATGCAGAGAGGACATTGCTCTATCCCACTGCAACATGAGGAGCCCACGTTGCTTTCACCTGGTGCACAATGTCAGGGGGGCATGTTATCACAAAACTGGTGGTTTCAAGATAGTCCAACTCCACATGTAACAAACCTATCAAGTTTGCACAGAAAGGAAAGCAAGAGAGGAATCCCCAGGACATGAAGCCTTGCAACTCAACCTTCCTGTTCTACAGCGTGGGAAGAAACATATTCCTTTTCTCAGGAACAGTGGGTGGTGAAGGAAGCAGCACCTCACAACCACCAAAATCAGAGCAGGTATTGAATTTGGCACTGCTTCAGTTAGTCAACACAAGCTCAGCCCCACTTTGAGTGAGAAAAGTGCTACTGGGAAGCAAATTCTCTGCATCTCAACGACATAAACCATCCTGCTTAGCTTCAGGGTTGGATAGAGTCATGCAGGTCATAGTGCGAACTTCATTTTCCCAGTTATTCCAGGGCTCACTCTAGTCTGAACAGAACCTTTATTTTCTACAGCAACACCTCTCCCATCTCCAAGGCTTTATTTCCAACCAGAGGCATGTTTGATTTCTACTGCATCACTGTGCAAATCTAACAGAGAGCTGTCAGCTTCCTGTCCAAAGGAATCACACACGGTCTGCACACCACGAGGGCACTTTTGAGACTTAAACTAGATGATCTTAAGGTCCCTCCTAACCCTAACTATTCTATGATTCTATGATTCATAGCCCAAAGGAACCATTACCTTTGACAGCCTGCTGAATGTAGGCTGTCATCCCGTCACTAAGGGTCACTGTTTGCAGGCCCAAGCTCTCCATCCTGCCCTGATGGCTGGTCCTCAGACATGAATTTCAGTTTACTCAGTGTGCTCGTAGAGAGCACCAGGACACAGAGCAAGAGGTTTGTGGAACAAGGAGCTGTGTTCTTGTTGTAAGCCTTGAATAAAAAGAACAATTCAAATTTTGTTTTCACCCAACATATGTATAGCCACTTTTGCACATTAAGAAAGGTTTAAATGGCAAATGATTTTTCAGACTGTAAAGGATTAAACTGGTCAAAAGATGTATATCCATGGCAAGCAGGAGTAAATCTATTCCACAGGTAAGTATAAGGTAAAGCTTATCAAGTGAGTGAATCAACAGACTCTTCTTAGAGATAGTGTAAACGCCCCATTCAAGCCCTTCCCATCTGCCACATGACCTGCAGGAAAGGTTTCCGAGTACTTTAAAGTGTGAACCTACAGGCTGAGGGTGTCCTGTACTGCAAGATGAGCAGGACAATGAGCTTTGTACATGGAAGCTTTCTCTCCTCCCTTTCCTGTCCAGTTCCTGGGCTTCTGAGGAACAGAATTTCAGGCTATAAGCAGATGATGTTAAAACACTCACACCCTGACAAGAGCATTTCGCTGGAGGCACTTTGCTTTAAAAAGCATCTTTAAAAGCAGCTGCACTGGATTCTTCACGAGTAATCTCTGAGACAGTCTCGTATTTTACCCTTTTGATTTCCAGGAACAAGTCTGACCACTCTGCCTGACACTGCAGCACCCGTGGGCCCAGCCAGGCTTTGTGCCATGCTCAATGCCCTTTAACCCAAGTGCTCCCTAGACCCAGCAGACACCTCCTCACTCACCGCAGCAGATTCTGCTTAGTTTTTAGTGCTGACACCTCCCGAAAAGCATTACAGCTCATTCCCCAGCAAACGCCCAGCCACAGCAGGGTCGCTGGGGAACAGAGGACCCTCTGCGCTGCTGTGGCTGCCATGCAAACGGCTGGAGGGGCCGCAACCCCCTGGAAGGGATGGGGCAGGCGCTGCCGGAGAAAAACCAAGCGTAGGCTGCAGCGCGAAGCCAGCCCGGGGCTGACAGGGGACGTGCCTCCGCGGCAGGGCAGGGCCTTGTGCCACGGCGAGCCCTGAGGGGAGCGGTGGGACAGGCCCAAGTGCCGGGGGGATGGCGGGGAGACACAGCGGGGCTCCCCCCACGCTGTTATGCAGGGGTCCGTCGGCAGCAGCTCGCCGGGGCACCGCTGCCCCTCAGCCACCATCTCACCCCGTGCCGTCCGCGCTCCCCCAGCCTCCGACACCAACCTGAGGAAACGCGACGGCACCGAGTCCGCCGCCTGACCATCATGCACCGCGGGCCGGCCCCTGCTCACCCCACCCCGCAACACGCATAACGGCAACACCCCCATCTCGCCTCGGCGGCCCCTGGCTTGTCATACAGGTTCCGGGGCACAGCAACCCCGCCCCCCGGAACTGGGCCGGCCGGGCCAACTTGGCGCTAGAGCCACGACGCGCATGCGCATTGCTGACATTGAAGCCACAGGTTTCCCTCAGGAGCCGTGCCCTGCGGCAGCCCCTCCGCAGCCGGGCACAGCCCGGGCGGCAGCACCCGCGCCTGGCGCTGAGCAGCGGCGGCGGCGGCGGCGATGGCAATGGCAATGGCAATGGCAATGGCAATGGCAATGATGGGGCCGGGCTTCCCGCCGGGGCAGCCGGGAGGCGAAGCCGGTCCGGCCACTCTCAACATGGCGGCGTCGCCGTGCCGCTCTCGCCGCCCCCAGCATGGCGCGCACCAAGTCTCGCGAGATTCCCGCCCCTATTTATTCCGCGCCTGCGCGCCTCGCCGCCTTTCGGTCTCGTCGGGCCGCCGCCATCATGAGGTGGGTGCGGGCCCGCTGCGCTGTTCGCGCCCATCCGCGCCCATCCGCGCCCATCCGCGCCCATCCGCGGCTGCGGGGAGCGGGGGACGAGGGCCGATGGCGGCGGAGCGCGAGCGGGCCAGGGCGGGCCCAGCGGCGTCCTCTCCGCAGCCCGCAGGAGGTCCAGGCCGGGCCCGCCCTGAGCCCGCGTTGTTTCTCCCCCCGCAGCAGCAAGGTCTCCCGCGACACCCTGTACGAGGCGGTGAAGGAGGTGCTGCAGGGCAGCAAGGTCAAGAAGCGCAAGTAAGAGCCCTGTGCTGTGGAGGGACCGGGGCATCGCGGGGCGCTGCCCGGCCGTGCCCTCAGCCGCTCTGCCCTCCTCAGGTTTGTGGAGACGGTGGAGCTGCAGATCAGCCTCAAGAACTACGATCCGCAGAAAGACAAGCGCTTCTCCGGCACCGTCAGGTTCGGCCTCCTCTTGCTCCCACCCAGCCTTCAGCCCGCGCCCCCCTTGCGCTGCCGGGCCCTGCCATGGGGCAGCACGGCCGCGGCAGCGTGAGGACGCGGCGCTGAACCGCTCGGGTAGTTCAGCCCAGCCCAGTTAAACGGGTGCGGCTGGACGGACCCCAACCCTGGGTCTTAAAACATGAGGGGAGGTGGGTGCTGTCCCCACCGACCTGCTGGGGAAGGCAGGGTAGCAGCTGTGAAGGAAGAGGTCCAGGCGCTGTGGTAAGGTACCTCTTGTGTTGGCTCCCGTGGAAGAGTGTGTGGTGCCGGAGGTTTATAGTAATTCAGACCTTCTGTCTCCAGGCTGAAGTCAACTCCACGGCCCAAGTTCTCTGTCTGCCTGCTGGGGGACCAGCAGCACTGTGATGAGGCCAAAGCAGTTGACATCCCTCACATGGACATAGAAGCTTTGAAAAAGCTCAACAAAAACAAGAAGCTGGTGAAGAAACTGGGTGAGTGGTGCTGTGGGTCGGGCTCAGAGTGCCCTGGCTGACATGAGAGGGCTGGCTAAGCCAGATGGCTTCCCATGTGCTCAGGTTTTCGTGTTCTGGTTAACTGCAGGGAATAGGAAGCTGACCAGAGTCAGCCTCAAGTACAGCAATCAGGTTAGAAACTACCCTGACAAGCCAACAGTTACCAGTGCAGGAGGTGTGACAGGTCAGCCCTCCTGGAAGGAGGAGGCCCTCTGGGAGGGAGGGATACAGGAAATGTTCCTATCTTTGGTGTCACCCTTACTTGGTGTTCTTCATGTTCTTCTTTGGGAAGCTGGAGGCAAAAGCTGGATTTAGTCCTGCAGTATTTACCTGAAGGGAATGAAATCTGCATATTTTCACTTACTAAGAAAATCCTTCTCTCCCTGTAAAGGCAAAGTCAAAATGATACATACCTTAGGCAGACAAGAAAACCCTCCCATCTATAATTAGCCATGAAATTGTACATAATAAGAAATGAGATGGGATACCATGTCTGCTAGCTCAGCCTCTCCAAGGTATATGGTACATCTGCCCATCCAGATGTGCCCAGGCTGTGGTGGGAGGCTCTTGGAGCTCAGAGTTAAGCGATGGTCACCTTTGGCTCAATAAATGCCACTTTCTTCAGGGAAATGAGCTGTGCACAGTTCAGCGTGCTGTCGGGGTGAAGCTGGGTGCTGGTGGGTTTGGCTGTTGTGACAGGTGTAAGTTCTGATACAGTAATAGTAAAAACAGGTTGGGTTCAAGTAGGCAGGACTCAGTGTGAAAAGGTGCATGCTGAGGGAGATGGAGCAGCTCAGTCTCAAGCTTGGTGTCAGCTGAGAGCCCATCCTTACCCATGTTGGTTCTTTCCTCACAGCCAAGAAGTACGATGCCTTCCTGGCTTCTGAGTCCCTGATCAAGCAGATTCCTCGAATTCTGGGACCAGGGCTGAACAAAGCTGGCAAATTCCCTTCTCTTCTCACTCACAATGAGAACCTGGTGGCCAAGGTTGATGAGGTCAAATCTACCATCAAGTTTCAGATGAAGAAGGTAAAGCAGAGCTTTTCCTTTCCAGGGCAGCTTCCTGCCTGTGACTGGGGTGGTCACTCAGACACGGCTGTGATATCTGGGCTGGGCTGTAGGTGTCCCTCGAGTGCCTTCCTAAAACAGTGCCCCCTGACCATGAGACTCCCTCACCATCAGCTGCTGGCAGAGACATCATTCATAATGTGGCTGAAAGGTCTGAGAGCAGATGATGATGAGATGATGTTTCAATGCAGAGCACAGTCATAATTAACACTTCCTACGGCAAGTGGGTGACATTTGCAGGGTGCAGCCCATGTGGGTCTGTGCACTCAGCAGTGCTTTGCCAGAAGCAGGTTTGGAACTTGACTCTGCAAGTGGCTCTGGAGCAGCTCTGCAGATGTCTGCTCTTGCTGTCAAGAGGTGTCAAAGCAAGTTGACTCCCCAGCACAGGAGCTCCATAAAGCAGGTTATTTTAACCCTGTTCAGGAGTCTTGTCTCAGTGGTTTAAGTGTGACTCATGGGTGTTACTCAGAATTAACAGCTCTGCTCACTGAGGTGCACCCTTGGACACCAGCTGCTGTGTGCCTGGGGGCACAACAACTGCGAGGGCAGCGCAAATGTGCTAGTTTCCAAATGCTGGAGCATTTTAAGTAACTGAGCTAATGATGTCATGACACTTTGCCTGTCAGCTCACTCATAAGTCCCTTTGTCTTGTGCCTGTGGGGAACACTGACTTACAACTCCTCATCCAGCCTGGCAGGCAGAGGCTTCTCAGCCTCTTGTGCATGGAAAGAAAGGGCTGGTGGCTGGTGGCAAGGCAAAAAGTGAAGCTGGGGTTGTGCTTCACAGTGAAGTTTGGAGCTAACTGTTCTGTCTGGGGCTAGAGGTTTGCAGGGCACATTGCACACTGCTCCATGAGCAGGTTGGTGGGAACATGGTTAAAACAGAGGTCTGCTCCCACTCTAGTGCCTCTTTGGCACCATGTGTTACGTGTCATTCCCAGTTTTCCCATGTTCGGGAGACACTGGTGCTCATTTCCTTTTCTAAGTCCCCTTTGCTCTCTGAGGAAGCTAGGTGCTGTTCAGAGGTGGCATCCGGATGCTGCCAGACACATTGATGGGAGCCATGTGCCAAACACAATTTGCTCTGTGGAAACACCCGTAGATAAGATGGAAAAGTTATGTCCAGTGGACAAAACAAGGGAATTTGATACCCCGCTTAGTTTAGTGATTTTGTCAATCACTTTGCTGTAATCTTTCATTTTTCCCCACAAAACCTCTTGCCTGCATCGGTGACTGTGGTGTCCTTGTCCCTCAGGTGCTCTGTCTGGCTGTGGCTGTTGGTCATGTGAAGATGACAGAGGATGAACTTGTCTACAACATCCACCTGGCCATCAACTTCCTGGTGTCCTTGCTGAAGAAGAACTGGCAGAACGTGCGTGCTCTGTACATCAAGAGCACCATGGGGAAGCCCCAGCGCCTTTACTAATGGGGCAGCAATAAACTTTTAGGATACCTTCAGCTGTTTGGTTGTGTTCCTCTGAAACTGGTTGGGAAGGGTTTGCCGAAGAGCTGTTTGCTTCCATGTAGCACGAGAGTTCTCCAGTGCTGTTGAGCTGATGGGTATGAATTGGAGCAGAATATGAGGCTGTTGGAGCTTTTGAGGGAAGTAACCTCATCATGTGTTCAGAGCAGGGCAGGGAGGGGGAGCAGCTCCGCTTGCATGCTGAGCAAGCAAAACAGGTGGTTACCCACAGCTGAAGATGCATGGTGCTAAGCAGTCACTGTAACCCTTTGAGCCCCCAGCTTGCCATTGCTGGAGATCTTTCCCTTGTGCAGGAGTTACCTGAAGCCATAAGAATCCTGTGCCTCAGAAGTGCTATGGCCACCCCTAACCCATGGCACTGAGGCCTTGTCTCCATGATGTGTGAACGCTTACAGGGATGATGACTGCAGCCCTGCCCTGGGCAGCCTGTTCCAATGCCTGAGCACCCTCTGGGGCAGGAATTGTTCCTCAGCTCCATCTAAACCTGCCCTGGGGCAGCTCGAGGCCGTTTCCTCTTGTCCCATCCCTTGTTCCTTGGGAGCAGAGCCCAGCCCCTCCTGGCTCCATCCTCCTCTCAGGCACTTGTAGGCAGCCATCAGGTCCCCCCTGAGCCTTCTCTTCTCCAGCCTGAACCCCCCAGGTCCCTCAGCCCTTCCCCATCACACTTGTGCTCCAGGCCCTGCACCAGCTCCGCTGCCCTTCTCTGGCCCCGCTCCAGCCCCTCAATGTCTCTCTTGTAGTGAGGGGCCCAGAGCTGAACACAGGATTCGAGGTGCGGCCTCACCAGTGCCCAGCACAGGGCACAATCCCTGCCCTGTCCCTGCTGCCGCGCTGGTGCTGGTACAGGCCAGGATGCTGGGGGCTTCCTGGCTGCCTGGGCACAAGCTGCTCATGTTCAGCTCCATCACTCAGCACCCCCAGCTCCCTTTCCAGCCGCTCTTCCCCAGGCCTGGAGCATTGCAAGGGGTTGTTGTGGCCCAGGTGCAGAACCTGGCACTTGCCCCTTTTGAGCCTCATCCCATTGGCCACAGCCCATGGATCCAGCCTGCCCAGATCCCTCTGTAGAGCCTCCTGCCCTCCAGCAGATCAATGCTCCCATCCAACTTAGTGTCATCTGCAAACTGATGGAGGGTGCCCTCAGGCCCCTCATCAATGAGGATATTAAACAACACTAACCTTAACACTGAGCCTTGAGGGACACCATTTACTACCACTCTCTGGACTCAGCTGCCCAGCCAGTTTCCAGCCAAGGAAAGAATCCTCCTATCCAGGCCATGAGCAGCCAATGTCCCCAGAGCACTGTGGGAGACAGTCCAGTGCTTTACTGAAGTCCGAACAATGTCCACAGCCTTTCCCTCACCGACCAGGGGTCACCTGTAGGAAGAGATCGGGTTGGTCAGGCAGGCCCTGCCCTTCACAAAACCATGCTGCCTGAGCCTGATCCCCCGCTTTCTCACATGTGCTTTGTGATCTCAGATGATCTCCTCCGTGACCTCCCCCCGCCACTGAAGCTGTAGTTTCCAGGGTTCCTTCCTACCCTTTTTGTGGAGTTGCCCTTCTGGCCAACTTCCAATCCTCTGGGACCTGCCCCCTGGACCGGGGGTGCTGATAGATGCTGGACAGTGGCTTAGCAACCTCCTCTGCCAGCTTCTTCTGCACTCTTGGGTGAAACCCACCCAGCCCCATAGACTTGTGTACATCCAAGTGAAGCAGGAGGTCTCTAACCATTTCTTCCTGAATTATGAGGACTTCGGTCAGCTCCCGTCTCTGCCATCCAGCTCAGGGAACCGAGGACCCTCAGCATGGCTGCTGGTGTGACTCCTAAAGACTGAGGCAAAGGCGGCATGAACTACGTCAGCCTTTTCCTTATCCCCAGTCCCTAGGTTTCCCCCGGTATCCAGCAGAGGATGGAGGTTCTCCTTGGCCTACCTGTTATCGCTAATATATTTGTAAGAGCATTTATTCTCTTTTATGGCTGTGGTCAGACTTAGCTCCATATGTTCCTTCACCTTTCTAACTTTCTCCCTACATAACAACATCCTTTGTACTCCTCATGGGGCAACAATCCCTTTTTTCCATAGGTGATAAACTCCTTTTATTCCTGAGTTCAAGCAATATCATAGAATCATGGAACAGTTTAGTTTGGAAAGTACCTTAAAGCTCCTCCAGCTCCAGCCCCTGCCACAGGCAGGGACCCCTTCCATAGAGCAGCTTTCTCCAAGCTCCTGTGTCCAGCCTGCCCTTGAGCACTGCCAGGGATGGGGCAGCCACAGCTTCTCTGGGCACCCTGTGCCAGCACCTCAGCACCCTCACAGGGAAGAGCTTCTGCCTTAGATCCAACCTGAACTTGCCCTGTTTCAGTCTGAACCCATCACCCCTTGTCCTATCACTGCAGTCCCTGATGCCCCAGCATCCTTGTAGCCCCCTTCAGACACTGGAAGCTGCTCTGAGGTCTCCATGCAGCTTCTCTTCTCCAGGCTTCTCCCTGTTCAGCCAGGCTGGTTTTCCTCACCAGTTTTCAGCACAGGGGTACCACCTGCTCCTGCACCTTGAGGAGCATCCGGCCTTCCTGGACCGCTTTGTTCTTCAGTAATGTTCTTCAAGGAATTCTGGAACCAGCATCCTTAACAGGCCAAAGGCAGCCCCGCAGGAGGTGAAGGGTTTGCTGACCTCTGGCTTCTCCAAGGACTGAAGATACAATCGTTTCATGACCACTTTGCCCTCCAACTGTCACATCACCACGAGCTGTGAACACATCTAATGGGGCACCCCCGGGGGCTCACGCACCAGCTGAGGCAGGAGGGTTCCTCTCTTCTCTAAGGACCGCCTGGATTGTCCCTGCTGCAGGCCAGGCCTGGGCTGTGTTTGCATTGAGAGGCTTCTGCTGTGCCTCCACCAGCACTGACTGGGGCTGTGGGATCTCTCCCAGCAGCAGCTCTTGAGGCCTTGATGGGTGTTTTCAGCTGCCCCATGGGACCGGGGGCAGCAGAGGGTGCTGGGGCCCAGGTCACGAGGGTCTTTCATCCCCTTTGCTTCCCTCTGAGCTGGTCTGTGCCCAGTTCCCATGTTCTGGGCTAAAAATGAGTTGTACTGCAGCTAGTTAATGTATATAAATAATTACATTGGGTAATGACTGTTGAGCTTATGGAAGTGTGCAGGATTTAAGCTTCTAGGAAAAAAAAAAAACCCTTATGCCCTTGGAAAGGGCTTGTCTTAGCATCTGAGGGAGAAAAACAATGAAAACAGCTTTGGATCCTGCTGTTAGAAACCTTTAAAATAAGTGTTGGAGCCAGTTCTTTTTTTTTTGAAAGATCAACACAACACCAAGAAATTCCATTTAATAATTAAAAAAAGACAATACAAAATGCAAACATTTCTCTTTACAAAGTTCAGATACATTTTCTTTTCTTTCAATCAAGTGCAAATAACTTCATGAACTACATCTGTCTCATCACTTTAATCATGTCTGCTGGAGATGGTAAGTCATGGCCCGCTGCAAAAGGCAGATATAAATATTCCAACATGAAAACTAAGAACCCAACAACCCTCCCGTGTGCTCACCACATCGAGACATTCAACACAGCCCAGAGGTGGCTGGTGACGCAGTTTTCAGCCTTTCAAACCCTTTCTGAGCCCTGCTAATGGGTGAGGAGAGGGGCTGTGCTGCAGAGGGGTGCTTCTGGTGGCCCCATGGACTCTTTGGTGGGGGGGTATTAGGGATATGTGGGAAAGGAGGAGGAGATGTCACCAGGTGCCTTTGGCCATTACAGATGCTGCCCATCTCACCCTTCCAAAACCGAGTTAGAGGTGGTTGGTGCAGTGACAACGGTGACAGCCTGGCTACCCCGAGGCTCTGGGAGGCCCAGTCCCCACCGGGTCAGGGTGACAGTGACCCTGCTGATCAGTCACAATGAATCCCTAAGCTCCAGTGCGTGGCTACCTCACACTGGGGCCATCACAGCGAGTTCATCGTCCCCGAGTTGGTTTTAGTTTTACTGTTCCAAATAGGAAGGACTCTTCCAACAGCCACCGCTCCACTGCCCCTGCCCCAGAGCAATAACCCCCCCTCCAAATCCCTACAACAGCTTTTGTGCATCAAAGCAGCTGCTTCCAGACACCAACCAAGTGACAAACAGCTCAGGCCGCAGATGTCGAGCTTCCAAACGTGCTGGGAGCTGGGCGGCAGGAGGGGGAGATGCGCAGCTGGGATTGATCAGGACAGACTATTCCAGCCGCAGCATCGTAGGGACAAACCTCAGCCCCTTTGCCAGGCTGCAGCCCCTCATAGAGACCAGGAGGAGCTCTTGGAGCAGCAGGGACTGAGGAAGGGAAACACGGGAGAGCAGCTGCCTCTGGATTTCGGCAAGGACAGAGCGGGTGGCACATGTGGAGCAATACCTGGTTCATTAAGAGCAGGGCTCATCCCAGCTGTGGTCAAAGTGACAGGGGGACACAAGCAGGGACAAGGACGGGACCTGTCAACAGGAAAGCTGTAGGCAAGTTGACCGCATTTAGCTCCAGGTCTTTGAGAGGATGAAGATGGGGATGAAGGCGAGGGGAGGTGACAGCCAAGGATGGAAAGGGAGGAAGGTTTGGGGAGGAAGAGGATGGATGATCGGTGGCAGTGTTCGCTGGTCCCCTGGGTCCTGTGTGGCCATGTGAAGATGCCAGGGGGACAAGCCCAAAAGTGGGACTTGGTCCCCAGCCAAAGGGGAATGCAAGTGGCAATGAAAGCAGGGTGGCAGGATGGGTTTCCTATGGGATCTGCACCACGTGCCCCGGAGAAGGGCTCCTGCAGCATCCCAGTGCAGTAAGCATGTTGGATGGCTGGAACCACAAGCACGTGAAGGGACTTGGAAGCACAAAGCTTCCCAGAGCTAGGCGGGATGGTTCTTCCTGCAGGGACCACCACACCTGGCAGAGATTTTGGGACTGAGCAGAGGGGCAGCTCCCCTCTCGTCCACTGTGACCTCAG